TACGTGAGGAAACTGAAATATCCGATAATCTGTTTTGCATCATAAACCTGGATGGGCTAGTCTAGCTATGTCCTTTCATTCAGATCTCTCTTGGGCCCTTCTCCTCCATTGTCTTATATTCATGGTTTTCAGGTCGTCTTCTATGTCATCCATCTCGTCTTGGGCCTTCCTTTTTACCGCCTTTCTACCGGCTTCCACTGTAACATCTTCTTTTTTATTTTCGTGTCTTCTTGTCACTGAACATGTCCCAGCCATGACAGTCCTTGACTTTATACAAATCTTACAATGTCATAACCAATATTCATTAACTTAGTTCATTAACTTTGTCGTTTCTCCTGACTCTTCATGTGCCGTCTTCTTCTTGCACCGGGCCATATATTTTCTCAGTATCTCGAATGTCCTGAGTTGGGCTTCCTCTTTTTTCATCATTACCCATTATCATATGATTTCACGACTATAGGTTACTACAGGTCCAATTAAAGTTCTATAAATAGTCATTTTGGTTTTTTGGCTAATAATTTCGATGTCACCAACTTTTTATTAGCATAGAATGTACGATTTACATGAATAAAATACATGCATTAATTTCACTACTTACGGAATTCTTCTGATTGATTTTTGTGCCCAGATATGTGAAGGTATCCAAACGTTCAATAGTATAGTTGTTTACTACTACTACTAAGGATTTCCACAGTTTTCACTGTCTTCCTTCACTCAACCGTTTTCTTCAATTTTCTCTGTCATTCCAGTCTTCATCTCGCAGGGTTATTTTCTCCATAGCCTCGTCGATTTCGTCTCTGAATGACCTTCGGGGTCTTCCTCTCTTTCTTCTTCCGATCGGGCTCCATTTTGTGATTTTGTTTATCCAGCGTTCTCTGTCCGCTGTTCTGACGTGGCCGTACCAGGATAGTCTCTTCTCCTCTATATAGTCGATTATGTCTGATTGCACTCCCATTCTCCGCTTAATCTCTGCGTTTTCAATTCTGTCTCTTTTTGTAAGTCTATAGCTTCTCCTCAGGAACTCCATTTCTACTGCTCTTATTCTACCTCTATTTCTCTTGTTTATTGTCCAGTTTTCGGACCCATATGTCAGGATACTTCTTGTCAGGGTATTATATATTCTCTTTTTTGTCTTTATCGTAATATTCTTATCCCACAGCACTGAATTTAGTTGTCTTATACAGTTTCTTGTTTGTCTTAGTCTATTGTTTATATCTTCTTCTGTTGTTCCCTAATTCGATATTATGGTTCCTAAATACTTGAATTTATATGTTCCATTTACTTGTCTTCCCTCGTCTATCTCTAGGTTTCTCATATCCTTGTTTTCTATTGTTAGGTATTCGGTTTTCTCTAAGTTTATTTCCATTCCGTTGTTTTTATATTCTTCTTCTAGTTTTCTGAGCATAAAGCTGAGATCTTCTTCATCTTGTGCGATGACTACTTGATCGTAGGCAAAACTTAAGGTGTATAGGTATTCGTCTCTTACTGGTATGCCCATTCCTTCGCACTTTCTCCTCCATGGTTTGAGTGTCTTTTCCAAGAATATTTTAAACAGAGTAGGGGACGTAGCACAGCCTTGTAGAAGTCCTTTTGTCGTCTTAAATGGATTGTAGGCTTTATTTCCACATTTAATAGCTACTTTGTTTTCTTTGTACAGTGCTTTAACTGCTTTTATTAGTGTTTGTCGGATTCCGAGATCATTCATTGCTTCCCATAATTTGACTCTAGGTATTGAGTCGTATGCTTGCTTTAGATCAACAAACGCCAGATGGATCGGTCTATCTTTTGCCATTTTCTTCTCTATCAGTTGTTCTAATGTGTACGTATGATCTAGGCATGATTTTCCTACTGGGAACCCTGCTTGGTCTTCTCCAATTTTTCCTATTATTTAAGTTTTTAGTTTTTCCTTGATAATTTTCCCGTAAAGTCTACCTACCGACGATATTATACTAATTCCTCTGTAGTTTTCACATTTTTTCCTGTTTCCTTTCTTATGTATGGATGTGATGTATGCTTGTGTCCATTCCGCAGGTATTTCCTCTCCATTTAGTCCTCTTTCGAACATTCTGTGTAGCATTCGGAATAACTTTTCCGTTCCGTTTTTAATTAGTTCGTTTGGTATCCTTCCGGGTCCTTTGGCTTTTTTATTCTTCAATGTCTTGATTACTCTCTTGACTTCTGTCAGACTTATTTCTTTCTGGTCGTATGTCCCTTGGGGACGGTTTTCTGTAAGAAGTTCTACGTAGTATTCTTGCCAATCGTTTTCACTAATTTTGCCGATCTGGGTTTTCTCTCTCTTATTTCGTTGGAGTGCTTTTAATATTCGCCATGATTCTGAATTTCTCGTTCCTCCGATATGTCGTTCTATCTCTGTGCATGCTTGTTCCCATCGTTCGTTCTTTTCATTTGTTACTCTTTTCTTTACCTCTCTGTTTTTGGCTCTATATAGGTCTAAATCTTCCTGTTTTTTGGTATTTTATGTGTAGTTTTTTCTTTTCTTTTATACATTTCAATATGTCTTGCCTTAATTTGATATTCTGATGGGTGTTCCTTTGGTCGTCTTCTCCAAGAGCTTCTAAGGCCGCTGAAATCAGGCAGGTTTTTATGTGTTTATGCATTTCATCTAACGTGTCATATCTGAATTCTTCCAGTTTTTGGTCTAGTCTTCTTTTGTATAGATCTTTTATTGATTCTTCCTGTAATATATGTAATTTGACTCTCTTTTCGTTTATTGTCGTTCCCGTTGTAACAATCGATGTATGTTTTTGTTTTGTCCAGATTTAGGGGAATTCCATCCATGCCACCACAAGTTTGTGATCTGTTCCACACTCTGATCCTCTTTTCACTCTGGTGTCTTTCATTTTGATGGAGCTTTTGTGGTTCATGATAATGTAGTCAATAATGAATCTTAGTTTTCTTGTCTCTTGAGTCCATGTATACATATATATATTTTTGTGTTTTTAGAATCCGTTCATAATTTTCAAATCATTTACTTCACATATTTCTATCAATCTTTCTCCGTTTTCGTTAATTGTGTCTTCTCCAAATGGACCAACTGTTCTGTCATTGTCTTTTCTTCCGACTCTTTCATTTAGATCTCCCACTATTATTATTTCTTGTTTAGGTTTTCTCTTATCCATTTGTTCCTGAAGTTGTTCGATAAATCGTTCTTTCTCATTGGCTGAACTGTCTTCCGTTGGACCGTATGTTGCTAGTATTATAATTTCTCTGTCATACATCTTGATTTTCAGTTTGGCAATTCTCTCGTTTATGGGTTCCCAATCGTCTATAGATTTTTCCCATTTCTTCTTTAGTAGAATTCCAACTCCAGCTTTTGCGCGGTCTGTCTTTCCTACTCCGCTCCAACAATGGATTAGTTCCCCTATTCTTTCAGTGCCGTTTCCTTTCTTTTTTGTTTCCGTTGTGACGAGGATATCGAGATTCATCTTTTCGATTTCTGATGTTACTTCACTGGCTTTTGTTCGATTCTTAGCTTTCTCTGTTTATGTCTACGGTTGAGTTTCGAAGTCGGGTTTGTTAAACTCAAAGCAGAAGTGCCCCCTCCCCCCGTATCCGATCGGAGGTGTGGATTACCACCCGGGGATTAATTTTAAAATTTTTCATTTCTGCCAATTGTTCGTTAGCACTTGGATTTTTTAAGTGTGCTAGGTTGCTAACGCCTAACGCCATAACCCCCTTTTGGAGGACCTATTGTTCAGCCGCCCACTCTGGGTCAGACGCTACTATTGTCAGTTGGTCCGCGTCGGGTATTTCATTTCCCCGATACCACCCATCTGGGAGGCGTTCCCCTATCCGCCACCTGGGGACGCGTCCGGTAGAGGACTGACATTCTCCTCGGACAACTCCATAGTTGTTTATTGCTGTATTATTTTCATTTTCAGATGTTCTTTTGATGGTCATGTACTTAGTTTTTGTTTTGTTTATTTTAAACGCTCTTTTATGTGCTTCAGGGTCAATTTCCTTGAACGTTTCCATTAGTCGTGTCTTGCTTCTACTAATAATTGCAGAAAATTCTCTAAAATAGCCATAAGACTAGCTAAGATATACAGAACTGAATGTTGGACAATTAAAAAAAACAGAAACAATAAAGGCATGTGGCGGAAATGAGACTGCTTAGGTGGATAATTGGAGTGACAAAAAAAATAAAATTAAGAATGAGTATCTTAGGGGAAGTCTAGGGGAACTGTTGCCAAGATGAAAGAGCATTGAATAAAATATTTTGGTAACGTGATTTAGTGATTAATGTAGAGACGTTAATCTCCCAATACAAAGAATTGCTGATCTGCGGGTTCTTGGAAGTAGTAGGAAGAAAGACCAAAAAAGACCTGGGGAAAACGCTTAGGCAGGACATTACGGTAAAAGGTGTTACTATTAATATGACACAAGATGGACACTTATGGAGAAGTGTAATTAGGAAATCCGACTCAGCATAGAGATAAAGACAAAGAGAATGATGATGATAACGATGCTGATGATGATGTTGAAAATGTTAATGATGATGATAATGATGGTCTTTTGTTGTCTGTTCTCAGTTTAATCTAAAACTAATAGTTACTGAGATATTATATTTGTTTGAAAGCCACTTAATTGTTTATAATTAAAAAAAATTCTGATGCGTCGTAACTAATCCAATTTTACTTCTATAGAATCCATTAGATAGAAGAAGTGCCCTTTTATATGCAAAAAATTGGCAAACTTCTAAAGGGCTTAGTTTTGTTGTACAAAATTTTTATAAAAATTTAAATTAAAAAGAAACAAATATATTGCCAATTTATTGTGCGACCTTAACAAAAAATTGCTAAGGTTTAAATTATTTCGGTTGCGTTTCTAATAAACCTTGTTATAACAAAAAAATGATTATTTCTTGAAGTATGTTTTATAAGGTCAAGATCCTCTAAATTTGGTAGATTACGAAGGTTAGGTTTTAAAAAACATTAGATACTTCAGTCTAATTATTGTTCTTGTGAAGTGATGTGTATGTGACATTTTAAGGAAATTTGTTAATTTGCGTAATTGATATAGATAAAGACTGTAAGGTGTGCGTACAATTAGGTATGTGTAGAGTTTTATTTTTTATTTTATTTATAGCGTGTATTTTGCATAAAATAGTATGGAAATTAAAAATTATTATTTGTATGTCAAGATGGATCAAACGCTTACGAGTTTTTTTTCAGAACTCGTGGTTTAGTACTCTTTACTAGTTTTCTCCATTTTTCATGACTCTTATCTTCACTCCATTAACAGCCATAATGAAACCAACACAATGGCTTTTTATCTATTAAGTATATGACTTTTTTAAGCAATAACTGATTTTAATGGATTTATCTCCCAATCAGTTTGTTTGTAAAATCCTTCTTTTTCCTGGAAATATAATCTGATATGGCAGTGGAGAAAAAAAAGGTGTGATATACTGTGAAAACAGCAGACTACTGCACCCTAATAGATTGGTGTTGGGTTGAGATGAAAGGGAATTTGTCTTTTAACGAAGGTGATGCCCATGGATGTCCCCATGCCTCCACGACTGTCAATTAAAATTCAACCTAATTGTTCTTCATCGAGTGCACTCGGTGGACGAGTCCTTGACGGATGAAACCTCGAGTGTATTGACGCTCTCTGTAATTGATTAAAAAATGTAGAAAGAGTAGATGTTAAATGAATGTAAACATGAATGTTAAATTTATAAATACATATGTCTGTACCGTAGAAGTAAAGGGTAGTATATCCATCTAGTGAAGTTTTGAGATAATGGGAAAATAAGATGAGTTCCAGAAAATTATTGCAATTATTCTTAATCTGAAGACATTTGAAATTATGTATTTATATAATTGTAACATTATATAGTAGTTAATCAATATTGTCCTACTGTGATAAAAACTTTGTTTAACAGTGTACAAAATAGTAAGTGCCTACATAAAGTCACACAAAAACACAAAAAATGATTAAAAACATTTATTCATCATCGCTATCATTAACATTTTTTTTTTTTTTGGTAATAACTAAATTTCTACAAAACTCATGAAACTGACTGGAAATCCATTGTAGAAGGATTAGTAAGTGAATCTTTTTCTTCTGTGTGATCCGTTTCGGTTTTTGATATCGTAGTGGTAACTGCTCTGGACGATTGGTGGTAGTTGATGTTCTAGTGACGTGCAATTTTTTGGGTCTAATTTCTTTAACAGCCTCTTTATAAAAATTAAGATCGGTGTGTCTTTTTTTACTTGAGATTGGACTACGTTTGAAATGAAGAAATTCTTATTGTCGGTATTTTTCTTTTTACTGATGAATGGGGATTGAGACTGAGCGTAAAGTTCTTTAAAATTTTTGAAATCATCTTTGTCCATTTTAATCACCTCAGCACCTACGGACTTAATTAATTGCTGCTAATCCCAAGGCGTAATTGCTGCATTGTTGGCTGTTTTTTTACAGATCTTTCAATAAAAGCGTGCACGTGGTCAGATTCTAAATGAGTGTGTCCTCTCACTAAATATTTATGATTAACTACTTTTAAATTAGGGCAGATGTTCAAAAGCCAAAAGTAGCTCATCATTACCATAATATTGCGGTTTTGACTAGGGCAATTATCTGACCAATTACCAATTCTTCCACATCAGTTTGTGATAGAACTGTAATTGCCCGTTTAGTTAATGCTGAGGCAATTTCATGGCCACCCCTTCTAGCTTCGGATTCATCCCAGATAAGGCAATACGATTTATTTTCTGTAGCGTCGTATATCGTGAAATTTACATATAATCCATAATTTCAGCTTGTAGAAACTTTGGTTATTTGTCAAACAAGACGTAGACAAGCAAATCACACATTATAATTTTATTGTAGAATAAACCGATCGCAAGTATCACAAGTATCCACGGAAACCGATTTAAATGCTAAATTAAAATCATTATTGAATTTTTTTATACAGCCATAATTCAATAATTTCATTCTTTGGAATGTGGTCTTCTTCACACTTTAAGGTATATAATTTCGCCCTTGCGCGTGCAAACGGAGATAAGTCCAAAATTGCCATTTTGAGATATAAGCGTTTAAAAATTTTTATGAATTTATAAGCAAATTTTAAATAAAACAACTTAAATCTAATTAAAGATGAATTAAAAACTTTATTTAATTTTACAAACTAAATGAAAATATTACCCTGTAATTTTGAAAATCATTATAACATGAGAGAAAAAAATAGTTATCTCCAAATGCACAAAACTTTAGCGTACATAACCCTATCTGCACTAATCGTCATCTAGTATATCTTCTTCTTCTTCTGAACAGTAGTCTGCAACATCGGTCTGCGTAGGTAAGTTTTTATAGAAATCGTGAAATACGTCATCTATGTATGGTAATAAATCCATTAGATTACTTTTTTTTTCTGAAGAAATTGGATTTGGATATTTACATTTTGGTAGATTTAATGGAGGAGATGAGAAACCTCTTCTAAGAAAATTCATTGTTTTAAATGGTTCATCTTCTTTGTAACTATTTTTATACGAAAACAGTCCAAATTCTTTTTGATATCTAATCCATTTGACATCTTTCCAAATAAAGCGGTTACCGTCATTATCTACCTTTCTTACTTGTAATGAACTCTTTAGTAAACTTGCAAAATCAATAAAATCATTTCTAGTCATTTCTTGAACCTTAAAGGGATATCTTTTACCACACAGTCGAACAAGTTGATACCAGTCTCTTGGATGTTCAATTCGGCTTTCATATTTTTTCTTTTTTTTTCAATTATCGAATGGTCGCTATCACACTCCATTCTTGTGTGTCCTGGAATTAAAAATTTATGATCCAATGTATCGAGACCAGAACTAACCATTAAGACCATAAACATTGCAATGAGATGAGAGTTTTTATTCTGCCCTCCACAAGTGTCAGAATACAATGTTATTTTTCGTACTTCTGGTGGGATTTCTAAGAGCTCTTTATACAAACAAGAAGCTATTTGATTGGCTCCACGACCAAAAATCGTTTCATACCACATACAACAAGTAGTTTTGTTATTACCACAATCATGAATTGTAAGGTTGTACGTCCAGAGTTGCCTTTTATAAAAAGCTATTGAAGTGTTTAGGCTGGGCGTGGGTAAACACTGCTGCAAATCAAAAGCAAAAACTCTCTGGGACTTGTCATCTTGACAAATTATTTTATCTTTTCTTTTTGCTGCGTATGCAGCTTCTGCTTCTTCTTGATGCCGATTTAGTTCTCTTCTTATTTTTTCCTTTTGTTCTTCTTTCTTTTCATTCACTATAGTGTTATGTAACTTGTCACAAGTTTGACATGTATCCTTACTATATTTTTTTATTGAAATGTTCATTGTATGAAAAATAGTCTCATATATCTTTCTACTTACGGGACTTTGAGGTTGGATCCAAGCTTTATATTCATCATACATTCTGGTCAATGTATAAAAAGAAGGCAAAAAACGTCTATCTCCAGTTTTTTCACGACAATAATGACTTTTGTATGTAGGTATAAGACCTATATGTTGCTTTATCATGTCAATTCTGTCTGAATTTATTTTATTCGCAGGTATATGGCTTCCTCTTTTATCTTCTGTTGTTATACCGGAAAAGCTAGTTTTTGTAATAACATTTTCTATAAACTTATTCGACAAATCAAATGTTTTTTGAAAGCACTGTTTACAAACTTCAACGAGCTCACCTGCGATCTTGAAGTGATACTGATAGCTACAAGCTCTTGTTTTTGATGAATTAAGTTTCATTGTCTTTTTTTCCTGCCTCAAAATAAGACTTGAACAGTAAGCAACCCTTTTATTATAATCCCCTAACTCCCAAAATTCTGTAAATAACTGTTTACGTACTTCGGTATCAAATTTTTTACCGCATCCTTTTCGGCAATCTCCAAGTACCTTACATTTTTTGCCTTTCATCAACTTATTTTTTAGAGTCATGTATTCTTTACCTGCATTTCTTTCCATTTTTCTTTTTTTCCTCATTGCTCTAGTATCACCTTTTACCGATTTTCTTCCTTTTTTATTTTTATTCAATTGATTTGGATCTATTGTATTTTCAAACGAAACCAATGGAATACTATTCGAGTCATCTGATTCAGGAAGTTCATAATCTGGATCCTTGTCACTGTCGTCGATATCGCTTCCAAAGAACTCAGTAATCCTTTCACTAGGTGCATCTGCAAAAACATTTAGAATAAATTAATATTTGTTATTTTCTAAAATGTAACAAAACTGACCTCTGCTACAACCAGCTTCAGAAATATCAGCTTTACAAATATCAAAACGAGAATCGATATTTTCTTGTTTTTTTTCCTGTTTTCTCGTTGTTCACATTCCAAATTCGAAAACATGGCTGTATCACTTTCTGGTGTAATGGACTGGTCAGTATTTACTTTGAGCTCAGCTGAAACAATAAGAAACATTGAAATATAATTTATTTTATAAAAAAAAATTCTAAAATTTCATTAATTTATTTATCATAATTTATTTTATAAAAAAAAATTCTAAAATTTCATTAACCCCCGACGAAATATGAGCTCAACGCCTTAATATATCTTCATAAATTATAGTTAAAAACCATCTAAATAATTTATTGTGCCGACATCAAACAAAAAAAAAACGTATCATAATTTGGTTCATTTATTGAGGAGCTACAATGCCACAGACAGACACACAAATACACAAACAAACAAATTATACCTAAGAGCTGTCTCGATTACGTCAGCGGCAGCTTTAAATAAAAAAACACATCTCGGCACAATCTTTGATGAGCTACGATGTCTTAGACACAGACACACACATATTAAACGTATAACTGGTAGTGATAACACTTCTGTTTTTGCGTCGGAGGTAAAAAATAGTTATTACTAATTTTAAACTAAAATAGTTTACTTACCTTCTGAATTTAATGCCCGTTCTTTCAGAGCGGCAAGAAATTCTCGTCTTTCTGCAAACATTTTTACTTATGATATTAATGATATTATTCTCTAATACGAGTAGTAGATCTCACAATATGTGCACGTCTCACCGTAAAGAACGCAAATGAAAACAAAATACCAATAAGCCACTC